CGGAAAAGAGGAAGACAAAGGAACACATTACACTGATTAATGGAGACAGACATGAGAAAGATGAACAACAATTGGACAGCATTACCAAGGAAGGCCTAGGACAGAGTACGTTGAAGAATGCTGATCAATGGCCCAAGCTCCACTAGGGGTAACAGGTGGTAAGTAATTTAAACAAGAAAAAACAACAACAAATTTTTAAAAAAAAAGAGTTTCTTCTCACTTTCTATTCACTGAATCAACATCATTATCCGTTTTTTCCAATGAATTCATTGATATGGAAGTTTGTTGTTGGTGTTGTTGTTTTAATAAATTCTGTAATTAATTGGTTTATATACATTAAACCATAATTCTGGTAATTGATTTGAATAAATATGAAAAAATTCTTCTGAATTAGTACAAATTCGTTCAGCTTTCATAGATAAATTAGCTAAATAACATGTTTTAAATATTTGATCATTGAATATACTCTCCAATGATGATGATGATGATGATGAGGATGAAGATGATGGCGGGATTAATTTTTTCATCCCATTGTTATTATTATTATCGCCATGTTGTTGATGATGTTGATGATGCATGGAAAAAGATGGTGATTGAGAGGCAAATTGCCAACCAATTGGATAAATTGTAATAAATTGACCATTGAATAAATCATTATTATCATCATTATTATCTTCAATATTGAACAATTGTTTTAATGATAAATTTGAAACTAATTTAACTAATTCAACTAAATAATTTGCTGCTTGATTAGCTAATTGTTTACATGTAGTTAAATTTTGTGGGCAACAAATGGGAACTATGAAAAATCAATAAATAAACAAACAAACGAAAAAGATTAATTTTAAGCTGAAATAGTTATTGTACATTACTACTTTTTAATATATCAATCAGTCAGTTAGTCAGCTACAACATAGAACTTCGTACGAACGTACGTATATAAGTTCAGTTCAAATTGCCAAACCATGTTAGCACACACACACACACAGATGAAATTACCACTTTTTAAATCACATAGTGGTAAAAAATAGTGGAAGTTCGAAGATATTATTCAAGAAGTATAATTCAGTGAGTCAGTCAGTCAGTCAATCAGTTACAACGCAGAACTTCGTATGTACATACATCAGCTCAGGTTGCCAGACCACCCCACATTAGCACACAGAGATTCAAATGTCAATTCAAATCCCAAAGTGACAGACATAGTAGACGTATAAGCAATAAATTAAAAGCTGTGTATGCATATTGATTGAGTAGGTTAGAAGAAAGCTATGGGAGGCCAGATCAAAACATGACAGAAATCCATGAAGTCACTAACAAGTGGACTGAGTCATCTTGACAGATGTAGACTATCTGGTTGGGGCCCGCGATGGTTAGAGAAACCTTGAACGACATGGCTCAAAGTCGTTTGGAATGGAGCAGGTGCATCCACTCTTTGTGTTCTCTCAAAGTCTAATCTTCTGAATTTCTCATCACCTCTATCTTCTCTGTTTAGGTATATTTCACTAAATTATACTTCTTGAATAATATCTTCGAAACCTAATCTCTCCAATTATTGCTAATACTTTTACTACATCTGACTGACTGACTGACTGCGCTGAACTGATCTAAATTACAATATTATTATCAGAAAATAGAGATGAATACTCAAGTATTAATAGTAGTGTCAGTGGTACTAAACAAAATACTCAAAGACAGTATGATTCAAGATTCATGACTAGAGGGAAGTGAGCGCTTTAACGCTAGTAGCCGCAATTTTGAAGCATATTATCTAATATCTGTAACCACTGGTTATGAGAGTAGAGTGGACCCTAACTAGGTATTCCAGAACTACTTACGTGGCTCAGCGCTGAAATCATTGAAGTCATAGACTGATATCATGACTAGGTTTGACCATCTCTAGATTTCTTCTGGCCTATTCTTGTACTAGCGAACGTTACATAACTGAGGAGGTAGTCATGGGGGTGGGGAAACATTAGACAAGTCTCAACCGCCTCGATCGATCTCAAATATTACGACCTATTACCACCTAACCTGAACATTGTTCACTTGATTATTCCTTAATGCACGATTCAATGGTTTGAAGACATTTGTGACCACAAAAACTTTTATAATTTTAGGTTATGCTTCACAGTTATAAATTAAAGCACAACAAACTGCTTCATTGTGTATCCACTACATACAAGCTTAATGATTATCGAACATAATAGTTCCAATGTCAACCCCCGGAGTGAACATAATTAAAGAGTTCCACATCAGGATCAAACAGCCATTCAATTCCTCTAGAGAATTGTATAATGCTTTGAATCATATTAACTTGTGATACCAACCAACTATTTCGCATACTAAATAAAAATTTGACTAAAAAATAACCAGATAAACATAATATTGTTTGAATGAGAGAGATTTTCAAATATATATATATATATAAGCAAAGACGACAACTTACATAAATGATTTGATTTTTGTTCTGTTATTTTTCTTTGTGGTTTTATAGGTGCTTGTTCTTGTTGTTGGTGCTGCTGTTTATCACACTGAGAAATTATTGATGGCTTTATGTCGGCGGGTTGAACACTTGACGAATCTTGTTTATTGCTACTACTACTACTACTGCTACAATTCATATTATTATTATTATTACTACTGTCGTTGTTAATGAATAATGAGATTTCAGTGTCACAACCATTAATCTGAGAATTATTTGGCTGTTGTTGTTGATGTTGGTGTTCGTGTCGGTCATCGCGATTACCATTAAAATGTTGAAATGTAGTAGTAGGATTCTCTTCCACTGACATAGTACGTGTTACTAGAGTCGGTGGATCCGATGTACTACTATCTGTACTGGAGAATAAATTTTCTTTGGAATTATCAAAATGTGTTGATGTAGCCATTGTATGCAATGATTTTGTTGTTGTAGATTTAGTTTGTTGTAAATTTTGTTTTAATGCAGATATTTCTAATTCAGCTAATTGCATACTATGACGTAATTCATTGATTTGTTTATGTAATGCTGTTTCACGATTTGTAGCAGCTAATTCAAATTCACGTTTTTTCATACGTAATGTTTCGATGATACGAAGAAGTTCAGTTTCTCTAAGCTAAATTGGTTGAAAAACAAAACATAAGGCTTTATGGATTTTTTTTGTATTTGTCTACTACTACTACAATACTTCAAATCAATCTAAACTCGTTACAGCTCTACTCACAAGTAGTCGTCAATCAGTTGCAACGAAGAACTTTGTACGCACATACATCAGTTCGAGTTGCCATATCACATTGGCAAACAGATGCTCCATTTGCTTTCCGTTTTCCTCTTCTGACCGTGAGACTTCTTCTTTCACGTCCCTTCTTATACTACTTATATCGTTCGTATAAGTAGCACACACAACAGATGTAGTAGAAGTATTAGCGGTAATGAAGATTAGGGTTCGAACAAATTATTGAGGAAGTATAAAATCTAGTGAAATAAATTTAGAAATAGAAAGATAGAGGTGATGAGGAATTCAGAAGATTCACACTAAAGACAGATGATTTATGAATTAGCTTCTCCCTTTTCAAAATACAATCCGATTCGATTTTTATCATGAAGCGCATGATCAAAATATCTGTCTTCATTATAAACTTCTAGTTAGACTCTTTGATCACGGTGCGGAAAATTTAAGGAAAACTAATGATCAAGAATGTAGTAAAAAAACAACGAGTAATCAAGTGGGAGAATCAATTTTTTTTCAGGTATAGGGTTGCGAAGATTGTTGAATTTTAATGAAATCATGAACCGATCAATGTTAAATAACTATTGGAATCCTGGATGGCGGTTTCGTTCTAGCATATTCCTATATTGTAAATTTTGGTACAAAAATGCACTTAAATATTTATGCGCCACACATATCATTGAATTAGTGAGTCGGATGGGATAATCCCAATACGCCTAAACCGAAGCAAGTGATTTGCTTAGCGGGTCACTCCACAAGCCTTTTTATACACAGATCTACTCTCAAACCAAGTCAAGAAACGTTACGAAATGTAATCCAATGGAGGCCGGTCAACAACAATAGGTTCACACATTATTTGATCCCCAAGGATCATACACTTCATGTGCAGCATTCGTTTCAAATCACAGTTTTTCAACTTCTCTAGGTCAATTCTCCAAACTCACAAACGCGGTTTATGTGCTAGATATTTGATTTCCATCCTCTCCATTTCGCAAAACAATACCCCTGTCACGAGAAGGCAGTGAGTGGGACTTCTCTCATAATGGTTATGTATACTTTGTTGTTTTAGAGCGTTTCGAGAGGGAGTAGACTCTTCCCACTTTCGACCGTACCAGGGTAATGAACACAGACATCAAGATCATATGGAGTAGTGATATGTCCAAAGAATAGTCACGTTGCGATTACTATCCACAACACAAGAACACTAGGCGGTAGAGTTATATTATTCAACATTACACATGAGAACATTCATAACAGTCATAAATCTGTGAATTTTATTTTCTTTCATTTTATCTTGAATCTGATTATTGACATCCTCTCTCTTTAAGTAAAGCAACTCACCTCTCTCTTCCTCATAAACTTATAAAATAACTTGTTATCAAAAATAAATTACAATTTTATAATTATTTAACTGTATTTAATTGTATTGTTTTCATTTGTTGTGTTATTTGAAATTCATGACCAATTTTTTCGGTTGTTTGTCTTTCTTAATCAGTTAAGTGGTGTTATTGTTGTTGATGTGGTTGTAGAGATGTGTACAATTTTAAACTAGCATTTATTATGAAGAATTAAGATTTTCTTTAGGTTATTACTAACCCTTGTGTGAAAACACACTTCGAAATATTTTTTCCAAAAATAATTCAACTATAAATGAATATTTGCTCAATTAATTCTTAATATACTTGAATGTTTTAAAAGAGAGAGAGAGGAAGAAATGGACATTTCCACTACGCCATATAAAAGATTCAAACTAACGAAATCCAAGTTAGCTGAAATTTCATTCACTATCAAAGCAAATGATGAGGTGGTCGATTCGGTTTGTGAATTGCACCCATTTCGACCGAAAGATATTCATTGACTCTTAGGTTTTAATCATCACTGTTAAGAAAGGAATCCCTGACATGAGTTTCAAAACTCTTGTCACTTATGGTGGTGTTTTGGTTGTGAAGCTGTCAATGTTTTCCTACTGAACAACATCATCAGCACAAACTTCAGATGGAAGTGAAGTATTCGAAGTATTCTCCACGTTTGACCTGTAGCTTGTTCTGCTTCCATCTGAAGTTTGTGAGGATGATGTTGTTCAACAGAAGAACAATGAAAGCTTCACAATCAAAACATCCAGCTCAGAGAATGAAACACCACCACAATCATCCGCCTGAGCTACAAGTTTTCTCTACCATCTCTTGTCACTTAAAAATGACTGAAATACTATCATGTATAAACTTAGTAAAAAGTTAAACGATCATTCTAAAATCCACCCTTACTTTCTAACCACATGAAGGATATAATTTGAATGTATTACTACTTAACTCCGACTGAACCTCTCTAGGGTTACTGCCGGTCCCCAGACCAATTTAAGTAGGAAGATTCAGCATAGAGTTGGTTAATCCTATCTTATAAAAAGGAACTTCACTAAACAGCCCAACTAAAATAAACCAACTGATCCATTCCAAATCTCCCATAGAAGTTTAAGGGTTCTCATACAGAAAAGTTATGACTCTTCATAATGAAAGCCAGGATTATTCGGAAGGTACGCAGTCAATGCTTCTCCAGACAACTACAACAAGAATTAATATAGGCACTTGGGAATTTGCAGATATATAGGAGAACCAAAGGGGGTGCTATTTAAATAGCGGCAGAAATGGGAATAAGTATATAACACAATGAAAACAAGACGTATACCTTAATAATTCATGTCTCTTTGTACTGCGTTGTATTCATATTTCTAGATCGTTTCATAACACTTATTATTCTATCGTCGACCTAATTTATCAAGCTAATCTATTACCTATGTTTCTGACATAATCCTTTCTTATCGATGTCTCTAAAGCCTTAAAATACCCTCAAACTAACACTACGATATTACAGGCAATATTGTAGATAAGAGTATGAGTGAAAAAAAAGATTTTGTCATTTAAACAACTCGTTATTAGTGAATAAATAACATTTTTTTAAAATTAACACTTATAAACATGTGTTAATTTAGAAACATAACGTATTCATCATTCTCTAATGAATAGATTTACATTTAGTAATTAAGAATAACACAAGTTTAGATCAGTCTAGTTAGAAAATTATGTTACGCAGTTTAGAGTAGTGATGCACGTAAAAATAACTCTGCCTGAAGCACCTCTGGGGCTGCTGCCGGTCCTAAGTCCGGATAAAGGAGAAGGGTTGGCGATCCCATCCCATAGAAAAGTAACTCGCTCTCAAAAACGCCAACCAGGTGCAAGTAAAATAAGGTAAAAAGTTGAAAGAATGATGTAAAATACACTGACGATAAAATCACCATGATAAGGAAAGCTTTTCAAACTGTTTACTTTTGGATACATGAATCTAGTTTGAGAAATTTGATGACTATGGTTTCGGTAAATTTGACAAGAATGAAATTTCACTGCTGATTGAGGATCTGATGACTTGTGTCACAATTGATGGGGACATGAAAGGGGTAACTAATGGTTTTTGATTAGAGGAAAGAATATTGTTTTAGATGAGAAAATCAGATTGACTGTAGGATAAGTTCTGGTCAGTGTGGTTTCTAATCTTCTGTTTGCTGTCATTGCAACATCGTCATCTTTGAATCCATGTTGAATGAAAATGGGTTCATTGACTGCTGTGGTTTTGTCAGGTGTACTGCATTTACAATTTCTATATTTCTCGAAAAAAACCTTTGGATACCCGTTGTTCCTTAGACATCCTTTAACGTTTAGCAATTCCACTACTAGTGTATTAGCAGTACATATCCGTTGCGTTCGGTGAAATAGCGTTTCCATATGCCGTTTTATAACTAGATATATTTATGAGCGTCGTTGAAAAGATTCAGCAGTGGGTTTGCTTGCTTGTTGAGCAATACATAAAATAAAATTGCAGTCATCGTATCTCGCATAGTACACCACTTCAGCAACCACTCGGCTAAGCTTGATCTTTTAAAAGTTAACCTGGAATATATCTGCTAGGACAGGACCGAGTGAACTTCGTTTAACAGTACAAAATGTTTACTTTACTTACTTTTTACTTAATCCTGTTACCTACAATGAAGCTTAAGCCACCGACCAGTATTCCCCAACCTATTCTGTCCTGAGCTTGATTTTCAAGTTCTTTCCAGTTTTTGTTCATTCTTCTCATATCTTTGTCTATTTCTCGGCGTAATGTGTTCCTTGGCCTTTCTCTTTTCCTTTTGCCTTGAGGGTTCCATGTGAGGGCTTGCCTTGTGACGCAGTTGGGTGCTTTCTGCAGTGTGTCCTATCCACTTCCACCGCTTCTTCCTGATTTCCTCCTCCACTGCAATCTGGTTTGTTTTCGCCCACAGTAGGTTGCTGCTCATGGTGCCTGGCCAACAAATCCGAAGTATTTTTCATGGACAACTGTTAATAAACACTTGTATCTTCTGGATGATGGCTTTCGTAGTTCTCCAAGTTTCTGCTCCATACAGTAGAACTGTCTTGACATTTGTATTGAAAATCCTGATTTTGGTGTTGATTGATAGTTGTTTGGAGTTCCAGATATTTTTCAATTGTAGAAATGCAGCCCTTGCTTTGCCGATCCATGCCCTCACATTTGCATCGAATCCACCTTGATTGTCGAGTACACAATGCTATTAGACTAAAACTGAACATTCTTCGTACATATAATTAGCAATCGTTTGAATTCTAATACTAACGGAGGTAAGAGGTCAAATCGTTCACAAACTATGTCCATGGTTTTTAAGAAGCGATATTTGGATAAACAAAAAGATGTTATTTCAGAGGAAATCACCAACTTAGCAGTAACATTTGTATGTTTGAAACTATCAGCAAATCGGAAAGTCTCTTGATGTAACCAAGTAACCAAGCTATGAAGAACTACTACTAACTTTTCCGCTAACCAGCGTGTAACTACTTTATAGTAAAGTGAATAAAATAGGCCTAGGTGGGAAATCATGTTCCTCATTCTTTGATATGCCATATTGTATATATAGGCATATACACATACATACTAATTTATTACTTACAACCTGTAAGTCCCAGTTGGTATATTTTTCTCATCTAGACTTCACTTTGGAATCTCATTAATCTCACCAAAACTATAAACCTATACGAAAAAATATATATTTACATAAAACTCTTTATGATTTTCAGACATTTGATGAACATTTGATAAACCATGGAGAGAAAAAAATTCAAAGTTTTGTTGAATAATATGTACAAATATTATTACCCTTAATTAGGTCATATAATGAATGTGATTTTGGTCAATTAATCTCTATCGCTCTCTCTCTCTCTCTCGCTCTCTCTCTCTCTCTCTCTGTGTATATTATACATATATATAAATAATATTACGACAAATCGAATTACAACACATGAATTAATAAATACCCATCTGTCTTCCTGTACATGGTGTAAAATATCCATTAATATAGATAAGGTTGATTGTTGGTTGTTGAACAAAAATTATAAACTGGCTCGTATAATATGTACTACTACCACTACTACGAATTATTTTTTTTTAATTTTTTTTTCTGGTTAGCGTTTTTTTGGCAAGTCAGATTTCAACGGAATGGGGTCGCCAACCCCATGTCCAACCCTCCTCCTTTATCCGGGCTTGGGACCGGCAGTAGCCCCTAAGGTTCTACTGGCGGAGTAGCTGGGCAGCATCATCGACGAGAAAGGTGGATCGGATGCAGATGTGATGGCGCGGATTGGCAAAGCGAGGGTTGCATTTCTACAGTTGAAAAATATCTGGAACTCCAAACAAATATCAATCAACACCAAAATCAGGATTTTCAATACAAATGTCAAGACAGTTCTACTGTATGGAGCGGAAACATGGAGAACTGCGAAAGCCATCATCCAGAAGATACAAGTATTTATTAACAGTTGTCTACGCAAAATACTTCGTATTCGTTGGCCAGACACCATCAGCAACAACGAACTGTGGGAGAGAACAAGTCAGATTCCAGTGGAGGAGGAAATCAGGAAGAAGCGGTGGAAGTGGATAGGACACACATTACGAAAAGCACCTAACTGCGTCACGAGACAAGCCCTCACATGGAACCCTCAAGGCAAAAGGAAAAGAGGAAGGCCAAGGAACACACTACGCCGAGAAATAGAGAAAGATATGAGAGGAATGAACAAACATTGGACAGAATTGGAGAGGGAAGCCCAGGACAGAGTTGGTTGGAGAAAACTGGTGAGCGGCCTATGCTCCATTGGGGTTAACAGGCTTAAGTAAGTAAGTACCACTACTACGAATATCGTCCCAGTGAATCCCACACCGTGCATTATTTGCCAAGGCTGGGACTGGTCAGAAAAAGCGAAGAGGTGATCAGTGTATGATATGGTGTCATGGTATGAAAGCTGTACACGTCTGGCATTTTTTAGTCATTGACAATCCTTTGGTTGGTTGGTGTGTGTGTGTGTGTTTGGGAGGATTGCAATTGATCAGTCTCTTTGGCACATGTGCGGATTACCTCGATATTGACCTTAGTTTATAAGCATTATGTTAACGGAGGTGGACAGTAGCTAGCAGTGAAATTCAGGACGCGTGTTTAGTCCTACGTGGGGACTCGTCAATCGGATATACCTGCATCGCAGAGTTGATGTTCACTCTGGAACTTAGTGGTTAAGTGGATAATGCGATGATGTTTGAAATGTAAGGTCCTACTACCTAAGGTTCGAGTGCTCCTGACAAGTAGGATAAAAATTTGATTAATTTGGTTTTCAAACAAATAATATCATAGAAAACTTCATCTAAACAAATCTTGATGTGTATGAATTAAGGAATCGTAGTTTTAGAGTTTTAAATCAAGCACATATCGACTATCGTATTGAATTACGGATTACTGAAATAGCGCTTAAATAATACGAAAAACATTTAAGTTATCTACCTTAATATAACGAGTCAGTTTTGAGTTATTACTTTCAGTAATTATATATATATATATATATATATATCTTGTATTTTAACAACTGTGTAGCATTTGTCTCAGCAAACGCTATAACTTAACAACAAAAATAAAAGCTACAGTTTTTTAAAAATTAATTGCGATGTTTGTTTTAATCGTGTTATTTCATAATTGAAACCAAAATATTTATGCGCTACACAAATCATGGAATTCATGCATGGGCTGGGATATTCGTCCGAGTGCCCAAACCGAAACAGATGGTTTCCTTATGAAGCCAATCTATAAACCTTTGACTTAGAGATCTGAAACCCATGTGGATCATTCAGTCAGTAAGTTACAACGCAGAACTTTGTACCAGTGGACCATCGGTTAGAAATCATTGTGTTAGTATCCACGTTCAGGAAACAGATTTATGTGACGACTAAAACAAAGTCAGCTTTCCCCGTATTCAAACTGAGGAATCCGCTTTTGTAAGTTGTTAATGTTGAATCTTAACTTTCCAGACAGTACGATAACCAATAAGGGTTAGTCATTCGCAACAAACAGATAAACAGAAAACGTTCATGTTTTATTTGTACCTACAGAATATCGAAATTAATGTATATTGAATGATTGAGAATTAAAGTTTGTTAATGTTTTAAATATTTAATTATTTAAACACAGACACTCGTACTCAAGGGGCACCTAAATATTTATGAATTTATTAATCGGCTGGGATACTACCCGGACGCCTAAACCGAAGTACATGATTTTCGTGTGGGACCAATCATCTACCCCTTGACCTAAAAGTCTAATAGACAAGGTAGTGGAACAACGTAATCCGGTCACCAACAATCGGTTTACACGCCACTCGTACCATCAGGATCCTGGAACCCGTGTACACAATTAATTTGGAATCAGAGTTTTCCAACTCCGATAAATGGATCGTCCATACCCACCAAGCCGGTTAAAGCGCCAGACACTTTTCATTTCACCAATTTTGTAAACAACACCCTCACCACAAGGAAGTAGTGGACTTTTCTAGGTAAATGATTATGTTCGTTAACTTGATTACAACAGAAGAATATCCACTTTTGCCGTTCTAATGTATCATGCACAAGTAAAGACCGTGAGAGAGAACATTTTTAATAAAATGTATTGTTTTTGATCGATTTCGCTCCATAATAACTTAAGTCTTCAACTAAGAATTATGCAAAACTTAGCCAAAATGTTTGTATCGCTTAAAAAAAGGACTCCAGTTTAACAATTAATGACTTTAAAAACTGTAACATGATTGCAACTAGTTTCTTTTTCTGATCTATCTACACATTACTCAGTAAGTATAGCAACAAACGGATGCCTATTACTGATGAGCACCAACTAGTGTAATTCACACATTTAAAATCATCAACCAATCTTTGTTAGAGCACCATTAGAAACCTGGAAGCACTGGGCGGACATTTCGTCCTGGTATGGGACTCATCAGCAACAATGATTGATGATTTCAAAAGTGTAAAAACACTAATCTCTACAACTCTAATTGAAAATATAGTGTGATTCAGTCAGTCAGCTGAAACGTAGAACTTCGTACATACGTACATACATAGATCAGTTCAAGTTGCCATACCTCATTGGCAAAGAGACGCAACTGTCATCGTGGTAAATGTAGTAGAAATATTAACGGAAATGGAAAAGATTAGGGTCCAAAGAAATTATTCAAGGAGTATAATCCAGTGAAATGAATTTGAAAAGAGAAAGATAAAGGTAATGAGGAATTCAGAAGATTAGAATTAGAGAGAACATAAAGAATGGATGCACCTTCGTTATTGCAAACGATTTTGATCCATGTCGCTCAAGGTCTCTAACCATTGGTGACTTTCGTTTCGTGGACTCCAACCAGGTATTCTACACCTAACAATATGACTCAACCCAGTTGTGAATGACTTCATGGATTTGTGCCATATTTTGGTTTGGCCGCCCTAGTCAACTAGTATAAAGCCAAATAAAAGACTAGTGATAGTTTCTTTCAAGTATCCTATCACAAATCCAGAACACAGTGAATATATGATACATTTTTGATGATTCATCTATCTCTCTCTTACTACTTATTGTATCAAGTTTTTTGGAAAATAAAACTTCAAAAAGTATACAAAACCTAAACACCGAACTACAATTAATACAAAATGACTCTATTTCAATGAAAATTCTAAATTAACCAAATTAAGAACAAGATCAATAAAAAATTTTTTAAAAAAAAAGTAGTTAATAATCATTACTTTGAAATTGACTTCAGATTTTCTAGCTATACTCATTTCCGATTTTAATTGTTTTTCTAAACGTTCTTGTTCTAAAATCGCTGCCTCTTTAGTTTCAGCATCTTCTAACAGTAGGGAACAATCGACACGATTGTCTAAATAAGCTTCAATTTGAATTTTTAATCGTGATCCAGAATGATCGCGTATTTGCTAACAGAAAAGAAAAAAATTAAGAGAATAATAAGAAACTTTGAAATGGTATATGGTGCTTCGTCAACATTGGGATAAATTATCATATTTGCATTCACAATAGAATCAAGCGATACTGACTCATAGTACTATTTGTAACCATGAATCGATCATTGTTAGACCATCATTAGAAACCTGGAGGCACTGGACGGCCGTTTCGTCCTGGTATGGGACTCATCAGCAGTGCGCATCCACGACTCCTGCTCCTCGCAGGATTCGAACCCAGGACCTTCGGTATTGTGCGCGAACGCCCTAACCGTTAGACCACTGAGCCGGTATCTAACGCTGTTAATGTCTAACTTGATCAAATCCACGGAGTTGCGCGACCTCATACCCTGTATACATCCGGACAGGTTTGAACTTCACTGGTCACGACTTCCCACTAGAACTCGGAGAAGATTCCTCACCAAGCTAGTCACTAGTGGACACATGTCATTGCATTGCGGGGTTGTTGTGAAAATTGTTAAGTTTTATTTGTAACTATGAATCGATCAATGTTAGACCACCATTAGAAACCTGGAAGCACTGGACGGCCGTTTCGTCATGGTATGGGACTCATCAGCAGTGCGCATCCACGACTCCTGCTCCTCGCAGGATTCGAACCCAGGACCTTCGGTATTGTGCGCGAACGCCCTAACCCCATAGTACTATGATTACTATACTCCGCTAATAGAAGTATAGCTGTAACTGAATTTGATGTAGGGGGCTCACTACTTTGGTGACCCGTGACCCAATATAATAATATATGTGAGGTGCTACAATAGCTCCCTCCCAGCAAACAAGGATACAAAAGTGTCTGTTTGACAGAAAAAAAATTATCGGAGAATATCAAAATTTACGAAAGATCAAGTTATCTTGTTTGTGTAAATTGGATAATAACAGAAGACCAAATAATCGAAATACACAAAATGCATCGAATCTAATAATAGGTAGGTTGAAATTTTCGACGTGTAAATACGAAGCCAATAAAAAAATTTATATTCGAAATGGCGAAAGAAATTATCAATTCGAAATCGTAGCTATATTACTTTTGCGTCCATCTGACTCTTCGTCCGCGAGATGATAATAATCGATGGTTAGAGACCTTGAATGACATGGCTCAAAATCGTTCGCAATGGCGCAAGTGCATCCATTCTTTGAGCTCTCTCAAATTCTAATCTTCTGAGTTCTTCAACACCTCTAGTTTTTACTTTCTAAACTTATCTCATTGAATCATACTTCGTGAATAATAATTCTAACCTCTGCGATTACTTCTAATACCTTTACTACCTCTTCTACTATTGGATTTGAATTGACAATTATATCTCTGTGCTGATGTGGTATGGCGACATGAACTGATGTACTTACGTACGAAGTTCTACGTTGCATCTGACTAACTGACTGACTGACTGACTGACTCTTCGTCCATAATTAGTCGTTACTGGACTTTCTTCGCTTTTCTGCGTTGCTGTCACTGATCGGTGGAACTCGTCTTTCGGTGATGAGATGGTTTTCCAAGGATTTTTATTTATTAGCTGTTCGTCACTTTCAATGAAAGCTGGTTTGACTCGTTCGACGCTAATTACTTCCGTTTTTCGAGCTTTATCTATCTAGATAGTTTTATCGTTTCTTCTAATTACTTTAAGTGGACCATTGTAGGCAGGCTGTAAGGGAAGTTGCACATTATCCCTTCTAATAAATACATGGGTACTGTCGTTTAGTTGCTTCGGATTATATGTGCCCGATGTTAATTTTTGTTTGGAAGCGTTATTCTTAAATCACTCATGTGTTTTTTTAGACGATGTACGCATTTGGCTATATCAGTTGGAACACTTTTTACTTGAGGTGAAAAACTATCCTGGTAGACGTAGAGAATAGTTCCATAAACTAACTCTGCAGGGCAACATCCTATATCTTGTTTAATTGTCGATTTTAAGCTCAACATGACTACTGGCAGCTTGCTGCCGCAATCATTATTGCTGATAATAACTGTGAGAGATGCTTTCAGTTGCCGGTGGTGTAATCTCTCTAACATACCATTCGCCACCGGATGGTAGGACGTTGTGTGTATAGGTTTAATGCCAAGGAGTTCTGTGAGTTGTTGGAAAAGGCGACTTTTTGATTGAGCTCCTCTATCGGTTGTAATATTAGTAGGCACTCCATAATATGAGGGGATCCAATAGTAGTAATAATAATGGTATTTCAATTTACTCGTCAAGTATGAGTTTGAATAGTTGTACATATATGTCAATCGACTGTATATGAGGAAATATTATATTTTTATTTAATCTTTATGAGATAACACTTAAGTAGAAATAGTAGACTAATTGATTCAACACTTAAAAAAAATCAACCTTCATGGGTGTTGTTACGGATTATTATTACTAAAAGATTGAAAGAAAATTATCAGAGTTTTTGAAATATTCGTCAGAAAATAGGGATTCAATATGTCATAAAATGATTGTACATCACGCAACTATAACTGGTTATTAGATTTTCATCATAAATCCTTATATCTACAATATGCTAGTAAACGTGAACATGTTCATTTCTTTCTAAGAAACAAATAATGTTACAATAACTACTGAATTTTAAAAAATCAAAATGAAATCTATTTTGTTGTGAATTAATGAAAGATAAATTTACTTCTTTTTTTCTTTGCATAAAAATATTTACTTACTTTTAATAATTCATCAAATCCAAGTAAATGGAGTTCATATTGTAAATATACTCTTAAATTTATATTCTCTGGTGAATGAACAATAATATTGAGAAATTGTATACATGTTACCTTTAAAAAAAAGAGTAAAAAGAAAATGTTTTCTAAAATATATAAAGCATATGAACGTTGTCCTTTTTTACATATATTGAAATCATGAATGAAGATGTGACCAGTGAAGTACAATCCTGTCGAGTGTAGGCAGTAACTACTAAAGACGAATGGGTGAGATTGAGCAAAGTCCTTAGATTGATCAGAGTTAGACATTAACAGCAGTGGATGCCGGTTCAGTGGTCTGGAGGGTTAGGGGTTTAAGCGTAAGATCGAAGGTTGTGGATGTGAACTGCTGATGAGTCCCATAACAGGAGAAAACGGCCGTCCAGTGCTTCCAGGTATTTAACGGTGGTCTAACAATTATTCACTCATGATTTAAATATGAATATATACTTTGTAAAATATTCAAGCTATAACGATAAACGCAGAAAAAATCAATGAAACATTTAAAAATGACATTTTGTTGTCTAGAAAGAAAAATTTAAACTAAACTATAAATTCATATGAATTATTCAACTAATATAATTACTAATGTAATAAGTTAACCATTCTTCTTGATATCGCATAACATATTTTGAATATATGTTCTCAAATAATAATTAATTTAGAAAATAAATACTAATGGGGAAGGATCAATATATCAATATCCACTATATTTTCACAGGATAAAATGTATTACATAATTTTCAACGAGATATTTTCTAGCAGTAAATGGCAGTGCCCTCTCTGAATTTCAAACTAAACATTTATTAATTATTGTTAGAGCTTGAAATTTACAGTAACACGCTAGATTAGTTGAAGGGAACGCCAAGGAACATATTACGTCAAGAAATGTGAGAGATGTGAGATGAATGTACAAAAATTGGACGGAGCTGGAAAGGGAAGCCCAGGACAGGGTAGGTCGGAGAATATTGGTCGGTGGCCTATGCTCCATCGAGGGGTAACAGACGTAAGTAAAGCAGTTTACTATCAAATATTATCAAACATAATGATACACCGTATTGATGCTTCCTTAAGAAAGCTAATATTACGAAAGAAGCTAGTTAGTTTCGTTTTGAAAAGTAAATTTCTATGTTTGACAAACACATCAAACTTATTCTTACAAAATTAATTAGTTTCAATGAAGGAATCAGTTCAAGTAGTTGCCTTAACTAATTCAATGTGAATCTGAAACTTAATATTTGTTCTAACTGAATCAATGCGCGAATTGTATGATAACATAAAGTATACACTTTTGACTAAAAATGTCTGGTGTAACTGAAGTGCTGTTCCAAAGATTTAAGTCCTTACGTTACTGAACTACTTCGCCTTAAACCTACGGGAAAAAATAACGAATTTCCACACACTAAATCCAGTTATTTGTTCTTGTGACTAAACATACAGTTGTTTACTCAAAAAAAAACACGGTAAATACGATAGAAAACTCACTGCAAAATCTATATTGTAATTTTCTTCATCAAGTGATTCATGATATCTGAAAGCTGTCAGTAGAAGTTCAAATCTTAATCCTTCACCCATTACAACGCGTAATCTGTCGAAAGATTGCAAAACTTTCACATGTCCTCCTTCAATTAAACATAATGCAGTTAGCATGTCTAGTGCTAGAGTTTTTGTTCTAAAAAGAAACATGTGTAAGAATAAAGTTAGAGTTGGTTGTAATGTACTTGGGTTTAGTGAAGTTTAAGCAAACCCATATAATGCATTTGATCAGAGGTTCCAAAACTCACTTAATTCACTAAAGAGTGAATCAGCTATCACAAATGATGATAAATTATAAGGAGATTCAACTAATTACAACAACTCATATGAAATTTATGATATCCTGAAATAGGAAATCATTTGTTAAAATACGTTTGTTTACAAATATTCGATCAACATTCAGTATTTTCCCGATTCACTAGAAACGGTAATCAGGATAATGAATATAGTAAACGTGTACAATACGTACAAATTTTCGGATTTCCAGAATAAATAAAACAAAACCTACTTAAATGCTGTTCTTTTAAATACGTCAAATAAAAAGTATTGAGATTTTCAAACTGCATCTTGAACTCATACAGTGCGTTAAACAACTTACAACTCATACCTACAATGACCTATATGAAATGAATAATGTTTGGAAGTTTACGCCTACTAAACGACAAACGGAATAGTAAGAAGATAAGAAATCTTCAAAATGGATGAAAAGCGATCATGAATTACAGATGCACACCATTATTAGAGCAAAAGAAATTGTTATTCTACATAGTATGGCAGTATAACATTGCGAATAAAGTAACATTATACTCTAGGACATAACCTCATTTACAACACACAAACTATATGCCAGGACCACTAAGCAATAAACTTAAAGTTGGGAGTAGTTCTCATATGAAATAAAATAATAGGTAACGCATGAGTTGTATGACTCTCATCAAGTGCTGTTTGAGCTAAGTAAGTCCATACGATAAAAAAAAATCCTTGTTAAAAAGGTAGGATTTCTGGTTAAGAAATAACAATAATTTTTACAAGTGTTGAATACCAACCACAGGTTTATGATTGAATTTTGAGTTGCGTTAAATATGTTGCTGGGAACTATGAAAAGTAAAACCTAGGGTTCATAATAATGGAAATATATACAACTATGCCGTAAAATTCAATAATAGTGTGAGTTATAATACAAATTTTCAAAGAATCTCTTGAGAGCAATTCCAGCTCTTTTACCAAGTAATAACAGTAGGAAGAAGCATCAAATGACTCATGTGATGTCTTAAGTTCTGCTAGTCAATGACGATAAATACAAGAGTGAGGCATTATAGTTTGATTTTAAAAAATAACGTCAATTCAGAGAAAATGTGAGACGCAATAGGCATCATCCTTCACTTACTCCGTAGTCAGAGCGAGTCATTAATGAAATTTCGATCACTGTAGAACAAAAGTCATCATAACAATCATACTTCGAAAAAAGGAGTTTGCCCAAAAATGGTAAATCCTAAATATAACACTACATTGGCTACAACACTAACGTTGATCTAGGATCAAAAATATCTGAGATGACAAATGTATGAATGAACTGAACTACTTTGCAATAGAAGGAAATAAAAACACATTTAATCTGTAGGAGAAAACATGTACCAAATTTACAACATACAGATTCTTTAGATGTACGTAGTGTTACCGAGAGTGGAATACATTTTAAGCTCTACCTCAAGGTACAAAACTAACACAAAATAACGTCACATTAGCGTAAAAAAATGGAAAACAATCAGAACTTGACACTTAATTGTTATACTTACGAATAATTAGGATGCAGAAGACAGAATGTTATTAAACTAATGACAAGTGGATGCTCCATAGCTCTTTTACACCCTCTCTAAAAAGACCAATAATCATGAGTAATACAAGGACTAACCTGATTATTTAATATAGCCTTAAGACAACGAAGGGATAAATGTAAGCATTCTTTGAGCAACTCTAAGAGTGTCCCAGTGAGTGGAACACCTTTGGATGAAGAACTATTATGAAACATCGATGCTGATAAAACTTCGTTGCCTAAATTATCACATAAATTGTCAAAACAAATTAGTCTCTGTTACCTGATGAAGACTGATTTGACTTAATGCTACTATTACGAACACATTCAGGAACTTCTGCAGAGCAAGATATTTCGTAACGAGCTCGATAAGTTTCCCCCATGGATTTACTCCCATAAAATCTTTGCGCACTAAATGTTGTATCCTGCCTGAAAAAAATCGTCATACAAAACAAAAGACTTACTCTGATAGAAAATGCATGCATTGTAACATAAAATCGGCCAATGTCTCTAGACCCTCAAAATCTAAAAATTCATAAACCCATCTAGAATATACGTATCTTGTATTAAATTACTCAACATTGTTGGTGCGCAAAGAAATCTCTATGGACGATAGCAAGGGACGAAACGATGATCCATCAACTTTCTTCTTCTACAAAAATTAGGTAAAAAACAATTAAACGAACCAAAATGAATTCAATCCGACTGGCTTTTAAAAGAGTAACGCAGTGGGATGCGGAGCATCTAGGGTTTTTCGACTCCTAAAAAACACATAAACAAATAACTTTTTCGGTACATAGTTTGACAGAAGTTCTGCTTTTTTGCTTTCATCTAACAATTCAATTTGTTTGATGTGATCAGCTGACAAATCCAGTGAATTCATAAAGGATTTCCAACGAGTTTCGAAATCTTTTACATCCCCAGAACTGCATGTTTCCCCGCGGTCATTTTGTATCTGATGTTTTTCTGATACTTGAGCATTCCCCATTGTAGAAAATGCTAATGTAAAACCATTAACTTCAAGTAATGAGAAACATTTTGAAGAAACGACCTTCAGGACATTTGAAGTTCACACAATATCCAACATCCAATATCGTTCTTCAGGAAGCAGTATGAACATATTGATATATGTGAGATCGAATCTTGTTCTTTCACTACAGTTCCAGTAATTTGGCAGTGTCCAGTGGGTGGTAGTTTAGCCACTCAAATGATTTAATGCTCGTCGATTGGCGAAAATGAAAATAATAAGCGAAATATAGTAAGCTGTTGAGGTGAAGAAATGGCAGAAATAACAACTAGCAAATCTCAAAACATACATCAGGCAGAGCTGGCCCACAAGGTAGATTATAATCTAAATTTTCGTAAGTCTTTATGAAGTATCTTCTTAAAGCTGTTCACTGAGGTATCTGTGGTCACGTCGTTTTGGAGAGCATTCTAAGTTTCAACAACTCCGAATGAGAAAAGGTGGTCACAAACCTGGGTGTTTTCGCTTTTTCAAGGACTACCTTAAGAGGCGTGGTGGTGATGCTTCGGTAAGATGCTCACGTTGGGATGATTTGGCCAGCTTGAAATGTTATATGCCTGTAGTGATTTCACTTTTACGACAAAAACACGATTGGTTAAGTCGACACATTCATTATTATAACCATTTGTACCAGTGAACGTTTTACCGAACATTTTATATATTCTTGCTTTTGTACTACACTCTCCTTCTGTGCGATCGTCATCTGGCTTTTGTTGCTCTATACCTTTCGCCTATTTTCTCTGACACAATATCGGTATTCTTTCGATAAGACGAAAACGCCAGCCAATATATTTATTTCATCTGGACTATCCCTTCTTCCTTGTTATTGATTTAAGACAGACTTACGCTTGAGACCCGAAAGTAACTAGTTGGTAGACGTGTTCATACTCCTCGCCCCGAACTACTACACGCCATTATTAGATCACCTTTGATTCTCTTGTAATTCAGAATTGGGGTTTTTTTTCGTTTAGTGTGCTCTTCAACCCTATCACCCACACAGTTTCTTGACTCTGCATTCAATATAGGAGCCAAATGTATGTTTTAGGGAGTAAATTAGTATACACTGTGACGAGAGGTTCTGAATCATCAGGCATGGTAAAAAGAGATCATGAAGATATCGTGATTAATTGATCAAATATTGACGTAGTCGAACATAAATTAATAGCAGTTAGGAGGTTCCCGATTTCAAGACTCTCCAGTTAGCATCTACTTAATTTACCTTGGTACAAAACTTTCTGTTCTCAAGGCAGTTTCTGAACCAATATAGGATTGGATCAGTAACGCCCATCCTCACGGCCTTCGCAGTAAGGATAACTGTATCGAAAGCTTTCGAGGAGTCAAGGAATAAAATAAGAACGAGTAGGTGACTACTTAGGTAGGATCCCAGATGTGGGTAATGAGTGAAAAAAATGTCCATCTGTCCATCACAGTTATTAGGTAGGTTATACAGGACTGTCATTTCCTGTCAGGAAAAAGGATTATGAACAAAAAGCCAGATAGTCCGCTACGTATCAAGGACTACGATATTTTTGAGGGCACTGAAAAAGTGCTTCCAGTCAGAGGATTGAAGGTTCGTTACGTCTACCTCGATATCGTCCAGCTACTCTGAATTCCAACTCCTGCTGGTTAGTGAACACCATCTGGAGCCCATCTGGGGTTACTGACGGTCCAAAGCCCGGATAAAGCAGTAGGGTTGGGCTTGGGTTTGGTGACCCCATCCCATAATGAAACGCCGACCAGAAAACAGAATCCAAACCATTTTAACTCTGCCCCGGGAGTTAGAAGGTTTTAAAGAGACGCCTGTGACAGAGTAGGTTAAAGAATACTGGTCGGCGGCCTATGCTCTTTTGGGTGTAACAGGCGTAAGTAAATGAGTAAGTAAGTAAGTATGAATGTATGTATATATGTACGTAAGTAAATAAGCAATTAAGTAGGTAGGTAGGTAAGGTGGTAGCAGGATGTATTGGTCCGGTTCCGTTAATGAAACGGAAGCCTCTGACATTGCGATCGCTTTCTCTCGGAGGGTTTGGATTGAGAGCTTGTCAATTAGGAATAATCTGTTCTTGAATATGCCAACCCATTAAGTCGCGAACTTCACTCATTCAAATTGTCTCGATTCTTCTGTGAGGTCAAAGAATCTATCTCAAGCGCTCGGGTAAGTTGACTGTAAGAAGATTGAAATCTCCCATGATAGGGAAGTGAGTTTATTTTAGACGAATGGAGTGGGCTAATTTTTACGGGAGAAATGAAGACATTTGGCTGATTAAAACCTTTATATAAATATCATTAATTTCACTGTGTGTTTTGGGTATATTTGTTTTACTTAACTTATGAACTTGTTTGATTTATTATTTTCGGACATTTTGGTTTCTGTTTGTCTTGGTTTGCTAATTGGGAGTTTTCGCTCCAGGAACCAGTAAAATTGAAGGTTTTTGTAGTTATTATAATTATTGTTGTTAGAACGACATTTTAGTCCACAGTTTGTGAATTGCGAATAAACTTTGGTACCTAACTTTTGAGTTTGGTTCTGTTGTTAATTTGGGTTCGTGAATAGCAAATAGATCGACATACTGTACTTCAATAATGGGAAGGAGCAAAACTTGGACGTAACACTAAATGAGTTTGTCATAATGAATATTTTCTCTACACGAAACCAACTAGACAAACTAAGGTATTGGATAATCTCACTGAGAACAGAGCTGACAAGATGGGCAAACCCTTGAATGTATATCTGAATTTCTACCGAGCAGATTCGTAAGTACAGATCTGCCCCATCTTTCATTCCCTTGTTTCTGTTTTTGAGAGAGGGAGATATGCTCAGTATTGCCTGCTCCTAGTCCGTGATGTTACATGATATTTTTTCAAATATTCTTATCCATTGAGTGGTTTACTCATCTCACCTGTTTAGTTCGGTAAACTCTCTGCGTTCTTATAAAGGCAGCTGTGGGTTGTGATTCGAAAAGTAAGACTTTTCAAATCCTATTTGACAGAATGAGCCTTATGTAAATGGACAGGCAACCTACTTATATATCGGCACGCTTCGAAACTAACGTGTCCTCCTTGACCTCCGACCATTACCAGGAAACAATTCAGTTTTGGACATCAAATTGCGATATTCTTCCCTGAAAATAAAAAAGTTGTTTCCACTTATTGGTAGACAATCTGAGTACTAATTCGGACAAACAGAGTAGTGGAAAAGCTCAAATCGTCACTTCATAGCGTACCTCACAGCGATATTCACTATCCAGGTCACTCAACTCAAACTCATTCATTGGGTCTCCAACTAAGATACCAAGAATACACCCTTTCTCAGATTCTTACTTCTAGTAGGATAAGCAGGCAGAATAAGAGTGGGAGAAAAAGACATCCGGATGCTTAGCTGAAACAGTCGCTCGTTCAGAAATAGTGCAAGAACAACTGTATCACCTGCTCGATTCCAGTCGCAAACAATGACTGCTTTTAAATACATTTTTTGCAGTACATGGGTCCAATGTCACTGCGACACTACTGTACCTAGAGAGTACCACGATTTCATGCTGGTTCACTCCGTTCCGTGGTTCTCGTATACCTATCCATAGTGCAGAATCACTGACACAACAGAAATATTAGCATTAGTAAAGTGAAGGCCTTCACCCAACGTAATCTATCTCACAATCTCTGTTTCCTCTCCTTTGTTTACACTTTAGCCATCTCTCACCGTCTTCAGTTCTAATTGATACGCGAAATTGCTTATTTATTTACTTAGTTCTGAAATCCTACTTTTATTGGCATGTGAATTTTCTCCTTATTTTTCCTAACATTACAACTACCTGGTCTCTGGCCTGATAACGTGATAGCTACTGGTATCCAGAAACCCTACTGCCCTGAAAAAGACTTATTCATTCAAACTACGGGATATAAAAACTCACAGAGTACTGCCAAATGACAGGAATTAGAGCATTCAAGTGTCTAGACCTCCATCCATCGGATACTTCGAAACACCTGGAACCGAAGTGAAAGACCAATAATCGAGCGCAAATAAATCAAACTGTTTACACTAGCTCGAGAACAAAACGTTGGATATTAGATATTGGAAATAGCCTGTTCAAGTATTGATGAATTTTATTTGGTAACGGGCGTTTGTTGGTACAGGTTTCTTAAGATATTTTTATTGGATATTGGAGTTTACCACCGGTAAATTAATATCAAGGTTGTCTGTTCAAGTCATGTATTTGATATGAATGATAGGACAGATTATGATTCGGATGATGAATTTTTTGACTGCCAATCAGAAGGTAATAATTTCATCCAATAAGTGATATTTTTAGCTTGTTTTTATGCCATAGCTTCCCCTCGGAATACAGGTCAGGGTGAAGTTTTTGTGGATCCAAAGAGGGCTTACTTAAAGTTACGAGGTATCAAGGGTGCTAGGCTCAAGTTATTTGCTAATCATGTCGATGCTAGCAAATTTGCGAGTACCCCGATTGATGAAGAGAACCTGTCCAATCCTTACCCTCCAGTAAGTTGGAATACTTTGTATATACAAATTAAGTCGCCAAAGCCTGATGTTGAAAGCAGCCCATTTGCTAGTGCCAGTCAACAGGCCCTAGTTCGTTTCCGATCATTGCTAAATAGCGGGGACGTCGGTAGTGTTAAGAAAATGATTGATGAGAACCCAATGATATTAGTAACAACCAGTGATACACCTACTATATTGCAAGTTAGTATGATTTTTAGACTGTTATATTGTTTTGGTTTTGTTTGATAGCTAATATTCCATGTTGATCTTTGGTTTCTTTTGTCTATGGCGCTATTTGCGACTAAATGTGTGGATTATATGTTGACAGAACCTGTGAATCCGTTGATATGAGCCACAAAGTAATGCCGAACAAAAATTGGTCTCTATTCTATAAACAGAGAAAGCTAAGAATTTACGTCAAATTAATAATACAAAGGAGCGATCGCTTCTCTTTTTATACTTGTAGATTGGTCGACCTGTATTAACTCTACTAGCAATGATTCGTGTTTAGATTAAATTTCTTCTCAAGGGTATTCGTCGGTGAAGCTAACAGCATCTGGTAGGGTGTTTTTCTGGTTGACCATTGAACTAAAAAAGACGAATTCTAACCTGTCTATTCAATCATGGCTTGTGTATCTCTTTGTGATAACATTGAAGATATTCAGTATTAGAGCTATCAAAATGCTTAAACTCTCCATCACTCAAAGTCCTCCGAAATCATTATTCATATTTACTATTAAATCGATTTATTCCGGGATCTGTGACAAATCCGTTACATTGGTGATAATGTCGGCAGCAATTGTCGTGAATTTAGTTGAATAAGTTAATTACAAGTATGCAAATACCAGACCAAAGAAAATAACGCTGCGTGCTTCCAAAGTTTCATTTTTTTATAGAATTGTATTTAAAAATTTAATACATGCAATATTAAATTTCTCTGTCACTGATACAGCGGTCGAAAAGCCAGTGATTATTCACATCTATTTATATAAGCCTTGGCCTTTTTATACCAATTATCACAAAAGTTGATTACTCGATCAACTTGATCCACGAACGAAACACTCACGAATCAACTTTTCAGTCTATATACATTGTATATGTTTCAGCCATGAGGAACATATAACCGACCATATACTAGGATAACACAAAAACGCTTCGTATAAACGAAGTTTCAAGGGAATTTTTCTGCGTACAATAAGTAATCAAATTAGTAACAAATGTGTTAACGCCTCAAAAGTTGCTGGTTGGTAATAACCTCTTACTCAGTACAGTAAGGTCAAGTTCTCAGGTCGAATCTACGGGTGGTGGTGGGTGATGGTGAAGATTAGGAATCGAAGATGAGATCCAAGAAAGTGTAAATCAGTGTAATGTAAAAAATTATGAGGAATTCACAAACTTCAGAAACAAAAGTAGCTACACCTGCAAACGGTTTTGGCCATATCATTCAAAGTCTCTCACCACTGGTTACGATTATCTCAAGAACACTAACCAGGTAATCTGCACCTACGCACATGGCCCAGCACACTTGTCAATGACTTCATGGACTGATGGTGCCGTGTTTTTGGTTTTACCGCCCCGTGTGGTATTGCCTGTCAAAGTAGGCGGTGTTCGGGCATACATAACACATGTCATGACCACCTCGGCCGATGAAGATTCATTACCTCATCAATCGATTTGCCATTCTTACCTAGTACCCTATTCCTTAGTTAGGAATTGCTTATTCGGTGATCTCAGTATGCATGAACATTTTTCAAAGACGCTTATGATCAAATACTGTTGACCTACGAATATTCTCCATTCCTAATCACCATGTATCACACCTATAATGTAGAACGGAGGAAGTTGCTGGGCCTTAAACTGGTCGTTTGGTTTGTAGATGAATGTTCAGCTTGCACCCCAAACGACCCAAGTCGGCAAAGCCATTCGAGCGTTCTGTATCTGTACAGAGATTTTGTCAGACACCAAGCCATCATGACTGGTATGACTCCCAAGATAAATTAGGCAATAAACACGCTTAACTTCTTCGTTTCTTATCACCGATCCAGGCGCCGATGAGCACCAATCCTCAAACAACATATTACATTTAGCTGGAAAGAATTGCATCCTAACTATGCTAGCATTGTTGCTTAAGGTGGTCAGAATGTCTTTTCAGCATCTCCACTAAACAGAACTATATCATTTGTGCGTTCTAAGCCAACAAAGGCCTATCTTAATAAGTTCAACCATGAAAGTGTTATCCCTAAAAAATATCTATAACAAAGTTGTCTAATAATAAGTGAAGCCGGCAAGTTTGATGTACATGTAAAGCCATCATTTCAGATGACAGTTTAACATAAGCTCTGAATACAAAGGCGAAATAGTTGTTTCAGATTAAAATCCAAAAGTTAGGCCTTAATCTAACAGTTACTCCAATTAACATTTAATTTTAATGCTTATAAAAGTTCATATTCACCGTAAGCCTAAGAAATATAAACTTATCATATCATTTCTAAAGGTGCTATAATTTAAGAGTCTAGGTGATACAGCAATTAATTAATCACATTGGTGGTTAGCTTTTTAAACAATATGAACATCCTTTCATTCTTTACCTACTTTTTTCTCTTTTATGAATGCAGTCTTTTTTTACATATTTCAATTTCCATTGCGTTTATATTAGGAAGAATAATTCTATGTATTTTTCTTGCATGTGTTTTTCGATAATTTTTCATACAAAAAAACAAACATCAAATTGAAGATACGCTTTCGATATAATGCATTACATGTAATTGCTTCAAATGGCAATGTCAGTATGCTTCAATTTCTTCTGAATTGTATTGATTCTAATGAATTTTGGGAACGTCTCTATCCAGGTGTATCTAAAGAAGCATCTTTACGACGTCAACAATATGTTCTAGACTTATATTTAAATAGTCCTGAACTTGGAGTAAGTACTAGTGTTTGATCATTTTTACTATAAAACATTGTAGACAATAATTTTTTTTTTGATTTTATAGTGTTTTCGTTTTGCTACATAATTAACTATGATTTAAAATAGTCAAATCACTTAAAATATTTGAAGAACCTCCTATTTAAAGTGTTCAAGTTACTTGACATGAATAACAAGTTGCCTTTTATTCTTTCTGATGTATATATTTTCTACATATAATGTTTCTTAATACACATGGTGTGTTTAAAGAACAAATTTAGAATGATATCTAACGAAATTTTCTCGTGGAAAACAAGTTAATTTTTAGAGAATTAATCATATATTTACGTTTATTGAATTGCTTTTAAATTTGAACTAGCCAATTGTATGCTTAAGTAAATTGTTACGATTGACAGTGTCCGAAATCTGGACTCAATACGTGCTAACCTCTAAAACTGTCTACTTGAGAGAGAGAGAGTTAAAGCAGAAAAGAAAGTCTATTTGACTATCTTATCATATGTACAAATACTCTTATATGCATATATATTCGACCTCCTTAAAAAATGAACTCATTTTGTTGACCAGTGATATGTATTCGTCCATTAGAACATTTTTTGTTGGTCAACAAATGGTCTTTTCATTCGTTCACTTCTAATTGAAGACGCTGACAAAATGCAGAGTCTTCTGACTACCCTAAGCAACAATGCAAGCATGTTCGGGATGCGGTTTTCCCCCTCGAAATGCAAAATGTTGCTTCAAGATTGGGTTTCATCGGCACCTGAACTAGTAATAGGGAGTGAAGTGGTCGAACGTGTAGACCGCTTCACTTATCTTGGGAGTCTCATCAGTGCCGATGGCCTGGTGACTGACGAAATCTCAGCTCGGATACGGAAGGCTCGACTGGCTTTTGCCAACCTGCGTCACTTATGGCGTAGGCGAGATATCCGTTTGCTGACTAAAGGACGAGTGTACTGCGCAGTGGTTCGCTCCGTCTTACTTTATGGCTGTGAAACATGGCCAATGAGAGTAGAAGATACTCGTCGGTTATTGGTTTTCGATCATAGGTGTCTTCGAAGCATTGCTCGTATATCGTGGGACACCCGAGTGAGCAACGCTGTTATTAGGAATCGGGTGCTAGGTAAGAATGGCAGATCAATAGATGAAGTGATTAAACTTCATCAGTTGAGGTGGTTGGGACATGTGTTGCGTATGCCCAACCACCGACTGCCTCAACGAGCTTTGTTTTGTAGTGTAGGAATAGGTTGGAAGAAAGCTAGGGGCGGCCAAACCAAAACATGGCATAAATCCATGAAGTCATTGACAAGTGGACTGAGCCATGTCGGTAATTGTCGACTACCTGGTTGGGGTCCGCGAGATGATAATAATCGATGGCTAGAGACCTTGAATGACATGGCTCAAAATCGTTCGCAATGGCGCCAGTGCATTTATTCTTTGTGTTCTCTCAAATCCTAATCTTCTGGATTCTTCAACACCTCTAGTTTTTACTTTCTAAACTTATCTCACTGAATCATATTTCTTGAATAATATCTTCTAATCCTAACCTCTCCGATTACTTCTAATACCTCTGTTTACTACCTCTTCTACTGTTGGATTTGAATTAACAATTACATCTCTGTGCTGATGTGGTATGGCGACATGAACTGATGTACTTACGTACGAAGTTCTACGTTGCAACTAACTGACTGACTGACCACTTCTAATTGGCTCCCTATATTGTAAATATTTTCCATTAGGATTCTACTACAATACATGTAGTTCAAGAACTACGTACAACTTCAAATAAGGAGTTTTAATAACACCTTTTATTTTATTGAAGTTATACAAATCCTGTTTCCAAACAAATTTCTAAATCCAATACAAAAGTTTACACGCTTAGGAATTTATGAAGGCGAATTAAAATAAAGTTCATGCACTATGATCATTTACAACCACAGTTTTTTCTGCAGATTTCTTTTTACATCAAGTACTATACCGGACGGGTGTCAGGCAAGGTTGCTTACTCTCACCCTCTCTCTTTCTCCTGGTGGTCGACTGGATTATGAAGACGTCAGCATCTGGAAGGAAGCACGGTATTCAGTGGACAGCTAGGATGCAGCTGGACGATCTGGACTTCGCAGATGACCTGGCTCTTCTAACTCACATGCAACAACAAATGCAAGAAAAGATGACCAGTGTAGCAGCAGCCTCAACAGCAGTAGGTCTCAACATACATAAAGGAAAAAGCAAAATTTTCCGATGCAACACAACATGCACCAACCAAATCACTCTTGATAGAGATGCCTTGGAGGACGTTAACACCTTTACATATCTTGGCAGCATCATCGACAACCAAGGTGGGTCCGATGCAGGTGTGAGGGCGCGGATCGGTAAAGCAAGGGCTGCATTTCTACAATTGAAAAATATCTGGAACTCCGAAAAACTTTCAACCAAAACCAAAATCAGGATTTTCAATACAAATCTCAAGACAGTTCTACTGTATGGAGCAGAAACTTGGAGAACTACGAAAGCCATCATCCAGAAGATACAAGTGTTTATTAACAGTTGTCTTCACAAAATAATTCGGATTCGTTGGCCAAACACTATCAGCAACAACCTACTGTGGGATAGAACAAACCAGATTCCAGTGGTGGAGGAAATCAAGAAGAAGCGGTGGAAGTGAATAGGACACACACTACGAAAGGCACCCAACTGCATCACGATACAAGCCCTCACATGGAACCGTCAAGGCAAAAGGAAAAGAGGAACGCCAAGGAACACATTAAGGCCAGAAATAGAAAAAGGCATGAGAAGAATGAACAAAAACTAGAAAGAACTAAAAAGGGAAGCCTAGGACAGAGTTGGTTGGAGAAAACTGATGGGTGGCCTATTCTCCATTGGGGGTAACAGGCGTAAGTAAGTAAGTAACTATACCGGACAGTAGGAAATCTCACAGTTCATGGACTAACTATGAAATTAAATTACAATCATTCTTGCTACTGAGTTATTAAGCGAAAACATTGTCGGTTACTGAATAAACTGTTTCATATAGTAAAGTGACTAAAAAGTTCGCATTTGTCTATTGAGCTTATTTCAACAGTTAAACAAGTAATATTTGGTTTGATTTGTCCTGATTAGTGTATTTTAACTAAACATTTCTGACCAGAGATGTAACAGTCACTGCCAGAACAACAGCTACACTAATATCAGATACATTTTTGGGATTATGATGTGTAGACATTTAATCCTCAATTATTGCTGAACTTAAAGGTAAAAGTGTTCCGTAAGAAATTTCGAAATTGGTTCCAGTAATATTAGTATTATAAATATGTTCTGTTACTATTCACCTTATTGTTATTTCTGGCTGAATTTCTCACGCACACATACACACATTTATCGCTTATTTTAAACCTATTTCTGTACAACTACATTTCGAATTTTATTTTGGCATCCAACTAGACATACACTAATTCAATTTAAACATCATGTTTTATATCTTTTATAGAATTTTGAAACTCCCCTACATTTTGCCAGTAAATTTGGACATATTGAATGTGTTTCCACGCTTGTACGACATCCTTTAACGAAACTTAATCCTCAGAATTTTGCAGGTCAAACACCTGTAGATTTAGCTGGTACTCGTTTGGTTAATCAAGACAAAATTATTCATTCTGATTTCAATGGTACCATTAACATAGTGAATAGAATTCAACAGATTTTTGATGAAAGGTACAATGACTTTTTATCGTTTGATTTTATTTTATATTTTTCATTGTTGATACGTTTAGTATTAATATCGTACTCTCGTTATTATTACTACTAAAATTCTTGGACAGTGACGAGCAGTTGAATCTAGAACATACACATTTCACTCTGTTCAAAATTTGCCAGCCAGATATATTTTCACCTCAGTGTTGATGTTCACACCGAAACTCGAATCCATCACCTTTCGCTTCACACACCTAACAGGTTATTCATTGGGCTACTGAGTTCCTATTAGCTACTGGCTTATACAACGGAGGGAATTCTAATTCCTTTTTCAGAGATGTTTGAAACCTCCCATTGTTAATGTTAAAAGACTATAATTAGTCATTCTTTTTTGACAAATGGACTTCGTGAGTGGATTACTTCGAAATGACCATTGCCATAAAGACTTCAAATAGGGTTGAGTAGTGGTTATCAGTAGAATCTTGCATTCAGATTTTGTACTTCTCTAACTGCTAAAGTGATCATAAAATCACTTACATTTTGTCGACAATGCTAAAATCTGACTAGAAACGATATAAACAAGCACTTTCCCTCCTAATTCAACTTTTCCCGTGACATTTACTTTGTGGTTGGTTGCCGTTGTTTTTAGTTAGTTTAATTTCGGCATCCTTTACGATTGTGGTTCTGTCACTATGTATAGGCAATTATACAAATTCATTTCGTTCCACTTAGGTATACTACTCCTAACCCAGGTCTCATATGGTCGAAAAATGAAATTTTCGGAGCTACGAAAAAATCATTACCGGACATGAGGCAAAGGGTAGTAAGAGCGTCTGGGTCTGTTCGCATCAAGCTGGGCCGCATCTTCTGCTATCCTACGCCATATATGTGTAAACCATATGCTATACTGCTATATAGAGCTGAAGGTTTCCTATGAGACTAGAGGTTCGCTGTGAACATTGTGGATGGCTTGGCGTTGCTTTGGCAAGCATTGCTAACAGTTCATATACAAAATTGGTTAGCAGGGCGACCGATTTCATTGGTACTAGTGATGGTTGTTTTGCAACATTCCCGAGGGCCATTATCATTGGGGTGCTGTATTCCATATCACGATTGCTAACAATAATAAGTTTGACAGTCATGTAAGCGGGATGGCTCGAAATGGCCTGTTCATGCCATGCATATTGATTGACGCGATCATGGGTCGGAAATAATCACTATATATGTACTAGTGTATATAAATAGTGTGAATGGTCCGTCAGGGTGTCAAGTACCTCTGTATGGGGTTGCACCACGGGATTGAGCCGAACTGTTCGTGTCGAAATGCTAACACGTGAGCAGTCTCCTTGGTTCTCCTGAAAACCAATGTAAAATTGCCCTTGACAATAGAGAGTTAATTTATACAAAAAATAATACAAAATTGTTTCGTCCCACTTAATTTATTTCAAATATCAGGTTTTATTAAAATTCGTTCTCTTCTCGTGTTAGCAGTCAGGTGTAGTAGTATTTTTTGCTAGTCACTTTTATAGATTTAAGCACTAAAACCTTTCATATCAAGAATAGCTTAATCGTTCCGAATTGCGCAAGTACTGTAGGATCGTACTGGACCCCAAACCGACATTAACAATGAGAGGATTCAAACAACCCTTAAAAATGAATATAAATTCACCCCGTTGTAGAAGCCAGTGGCTATATAAACTCAGTAGCTTAGTGGATTACGTGTTAGGTATCTGAATCGAAAGATGATGGGTTGGAGTTCCGGTATGGACATCAACATTGGGGTGTAGGTGCATTCAGCTGACGAGTTTTAAGCAGGGTGAAACTTCTTTGTATTTCACCACTGTCCAACTCTGCACAAAGTCCTTATAACTTAATGGTAATATCAAAGTAATCCATTCAAGATGTACATTTTCTAAACGTTAATAACCAATTGTAGTCTTTAAAATCGACAATAGGAAGACTCAAATAACGCTTATCAATAAATTACTGCAATCCTTCTTTTAAATAATCGCCATCAGTAGAATGTGTATTATTACTTCTCTTATTTCACTTACAAGTTAATCGAAAGGTAGATGGTTTAAGTTTCAGTTCCATAATCAATATTTTGTCAACATTTTACACACTAATTGAGTGATCAATATATATATATATATATATATATATATATATATATATATATATATATATATATAGCACCGGACTAATGATTATTAGTTAGTCAGAGTAAATTACATTTGTTTCGTTACAGAACATAGTGTTTGGTATGTATGATGGAGAAAATTTATAGCTTAGGTAGATGGATTGTGATGATTGTGATCGAGTTACATTCTCTGCATGGGATGTTTTTATTGTTTAACAATAGAAAAAAACAAACAAATACTGTTAGGTTTGATACTTATTCTCGAATGCTGTTTGTTTTTTTATCCAATATCATGTATAATATATGTGATAGAATTATGAATTAAGTAATATACTGATATTAGACAAAACATTGTAAGTTAATTAATTAATTAATTAACTAACTGGTCAGACTAGATTTTGGACCTCTATGTGAAATGATTAAAAGCTAAAACATAATATTGTAGTGAAGGAGAACACAGGTGAGGGCAACCGAATTGTATCTAACGAAAATTACAGAGTTTTACTCAGTAAAATAGGATAACCATATCGTAAACCGTCGTTAATTTGCAAATCTTCAATCCATTGTCTGACATTTCACTATTCATGCGTTTCATACAAATTCCATTGTGTTCCCACTCTTCTTACTTTCTTGATCTTCCCCCATCTTCTGCTGCCAGACATTACGTTTACACTCGCGTCATATACTACTTATAAGTAGCGCGCGCCACAATATGAGTTCATAAAAAATTTTTTATCAATAGGTTAAAGTTATACAACAAAATGAATTATAAACTTTCTATTTCGAATGTGAAAGATAAGCTAAATGGTATGTTGTTAATATGAACAATTTTCGATTTAAGCTATTTGAAATACAATTGATCCACTGTTTATACGAGACGTTTAGTTAAAATGGAGCTTTTTTTCGATTTCTCTAGTCTATTTAAATTAAATTGCAATCTTTAATAGATTGTGATCAAATATACCACATACATTTGTGCGTTCGGTTTAAAACTTCCCCACATGTTGTAATTACTACCACAAAAGTCCTACTCACTCATCTCAGGTGTGTTGTTTACGAAATTGAGAGGATGAAAATCAAATGTCCGGTGCTTGAACTAGATCAATGGGTACGCGAGATCCACTTATGGAAGTTGCGAAACCCTGATACCAAACCAATGATGCACATGAACTCTAGAATCTTGATGAACCTATTCTTGATCACCGGCTAACATGGAACCTCATC